TGCTTGGTTTTGAATTATTGTACCAATTTCTTCATAATCTGCTTTATGTAATTTGGGCAGCAAACTTTACTCAGGTATCTTTTAATATTTTGACCCTTTGAAAAACTGTTCTGTGCAATAAAGATACCAAGTCTGTGGTATTAACTGGGAGCCAGTGCCCAGGATTGCTGGGCGCTGCTCACCCTCCAAAGGTAGGGGAGATGGATCTGGACTGGTGGATGAGATCAGGAGGGAAGAGGTGAGAAGTGAGGTTTATCCCGACAAATGCTCCTGTTTTCTGGGCTATCTGTCACTAGAGGTCAGCACTGCAACATACAAGAAATGTTTTCAGTATTAGGACAAAAAGTCTTATTTCAAGGCCGCAGCTGCTGTCATTCGTTTCTGTCACTTATTTACATGACTTTGGAGGTTCGTTTCCAAAGACAAATACTAATACCAACAGTCTTCAGCAGGAAGAGGTCGCTTTTATTTCTTCTAATAAAAATAAAACATGGTAGGGTAATAAAGTGACCAAACTTGCCTTTTTTTTAAAGCTGAATCACAGAATGGTTGAGGTTGGAAGGGACCTCTGGAGATCACCTAGTTCTGCTCGAGCAATCATAAGTGTGTGTGTCTAACTTTCTGAAATACTGGCCCATCTGTGTCCCCTGCCAGCTGCCTGAGGCTGCCACGGTTTGCTGCTCAGACTCTGCTACAGTTGCTTTTGGTCCAATTTTTGGAAAAAGCACCTGTTCCCCACAGCTCTGTTGGATAATCTGGTGGAGATGCTGGTTAACTCCCATCGGAGTTAACCGAAGCTGCTGCCATCCCACCTAATATGAATGCAGCGATGGCTGCGGCCGATGTGTCATCTCTGGTGGATGTGCAGCAAACCGTGGCCCCTGGTTCATGCAACAGGACGGGTGGCACCACAGCCCCCTCCCCAAACTAGAGCTGTCAACTGGCAGCGTTGGCATCGTCAGCAAAAATCCTTTTGACCCCAACTGGATGTGTTTTGTGAAGCCTGAAGTTGCATAAAACAATGTGGGTTTAAATTCTAGCTGGAGTGATCCCTGCTGTCATCTGTTAGATAAAGCAAAGTTATTTAAAACAACTCTTTCTCAAAAAAAATCCAACCCCTCTGGATTGGATGGAAAAGGAAGGAGTGGTGAAAAGTCCTCAGATCTTGCAGTCTAAGACCTAAATCGTGTCCTCCATGGAGAAGTGTTGTATGTGCTCAGTGGTTTCTTATATAACTGTGTGCGTGTTCAGGCACAGGGAGTGCTGCTGACCCGTTTCATGATCAGGCCTTGGTGTTCCCATCACAAAACCCTCGTTTTCTGTAATTTCACTTCTATCAACAGCTCATTCTGTTCTTACAGTCTTGGTGGGTTACAGCAGGATAGAGAAGTTTCTGCTGCATGGAGTCTTGGTCCAACCAGGTAGTTATGTCCCCCCAAACCCTCAGTTCTCTTAAATTGAATTTGTTTCCAAGCTGGGTAAATTCTTGGTCTTCTCTGTTTCCTTGGGAGTGATTCGGTCCATGTCGCTTAGGCTGCTGGCCTGGGAACAGTTTGTGTTGGAGACCTGTGCGTTATTTAGTGTGTTACTTGAGTGGTTTTGGGGTGCGTGTTGTGGGGCAGCTTTGTCTGATCTGGATGGAAAGGTGTCACTGGAGAGGTTTCAGCTGGGTCCTGTAGCTGGACCTGACCTTTGGAGGAAAACCCACGTATCCATCTTAGGGTATCTATGGATTTAGGGCTGAAACCTCTTTGTTCTGCAAACAAAAAGGTGGGGCCTTCCAGCAAACAGGAGGAAGGAAATGGTTCCTGTTCCGTTTCCTCTGAACAAGCAAATTCTCGTTCTGGTATTTTTATATAGCATCTGTGGATCTGTAAACATCAGGCTGTTCCCCAAATTATTAAAATCTGTGTTACTATAGTATTTTAATTAATTGACTTGTTTACATGTTTACAAAGCTCTGTAGATATAAAACAGCTGTTAATGTCAGTAATTCAGAAATAGTGGAGTTGGCATCCTGCATTTCTCTTGTCAGCTGAAATGGTGATTGAACATAACTGGCCACTTCAAATTAAGGTAAGTGAAGTAACTGCTTTATAGCAGCTGGGGTGAAATGGCTTACTTATGGCTGTTGCAAATTGATGAAAAAAAATCTCAGATGTCACTTAAATACTAACAGGAAATTGGTTAACCTACTTAATACTAAAGACTTAAAGACTTTTTAAAATTCTACTTTATTCACAGAGCCAGTGAATGTCTTAGAGGTGATTGTTACATTTTTATTTACTTAGATTATTTTATATTTTTAGATACATATATTTTGAGGTTTATTTTATAACGTAGCAGTGGGAACAAATCAGCTTAGATCTGTTGGTTAAGATGAGGTCTGTTGGGGAATTGTCTCTTAAAACGCTTTCACAGTGTTCCCTGTTGGCCTCTTCCACGCTGGATGGTTTTGCACAGCTGTTGGGCGATCTCTTACAGTCAGTATTTCTGAGTAAATCAAACCTGCTAACCTGAGTTTAAAAAACATCTTGTTTGGCTTTGCCATTGCTTTAACATGATCTGGCTGACTTGGGGTGACCCTCGTTTACTGTCCTGCAATTCAGACCTATCTCGAATATGAGGTTAAGAGTAAAACCTCACTTGTGATGCTTAGGCTATCAGAAACTATATTGCTTATAAAAAGAGCTTCCAAAAGCAGATTTTTCCAGTCTTTGTATATAAAATTCACTTAAAATAGTTTTTAGTGAGACTAGAGGTGATATCCCAGTGTATGAAATCTGTCAGAGATGATTGATACACATATGAGAAGCTGAGTGAAAATTGAAGGAAAGATATGGCATTGCCAGGCTTCATTTAAATACAAGAGCTATACATTTAGATTGATTTATTTTTATGCCAATAGGTTCTGACATAAATATAGTGATATATAATGTATTGACTATAATGTCAACATTATTTTAAAGCTGACTCAAGGAAAAATATCTCATTGTTAGTGCTGAAATATAATGCTTTGTTCTGCTGAAGGGGAAAGCCTAGGATCAAATAACCTTTCTTAAGGCCCTTTGTAATGTCTTTTAAAATGAGTGAATAACAACAGAGGTGACCTGTCTCGGGGCACTCTGTGTCCTGAAATTGTTTTGGGACTTTCAGGGCAATAGCAGACTGAATAGGAGAAGCACATCCCATGCCACTGAGGCTGTGGCTGTGCTCGGACAGCCCAGCCCCACAGCTCATGCCTTTGCCCTCTGTTTTGAAGTATCCTAAAATTGCATCCGCACTACACATGAGGTTGGCCATTAGGTTTTAATGCTAAACACAGTTTTATACCATGCACTATGCATGTTGTACTATGTTAAACTAATGGGTTACAAGTCTGTTGGCAATGTGCTATTGCCCTCAGCCTGTGCTACGATGTCAAATGACCTTATTTGAATTTTGCTTTGAGGTCTTTAATTTTTTTGTGTTGGAGCTAACCTTGCTAGCGGTGGAGGAACTACTAGATGTTTTGGGGTGAAAGGATAGCTCTTCATTGAATGACCAGTCCAGTGCAAATGGGATTCACCCTTTTTCTTTACTGCCTCTGTTCTTTACTTTCTGTTCTGAATTTTCCAGGTCAAATCTCTGGATATTCAGTGTAGTAATATGACCTTCAGGACCTGGTTAACTGATGTTGGCTGTAGCCATTGGAAGTCAGTGGAAACCGCAGGCTCACAGTGGGTCTACCTTTCTCAGCCCATGTTCCTCTTGGTCCCCAGGAGGAATCTTCCAGCCCACTTCTGAGTTAGATCCACTTCTTCCATATCCTTCTGTATTTGCTTTATTTGCTTTGTTTAAAAAAACCCAACCAATACAAAGCAAAACAAAACAAAAAAAAACCCAAGCAAAAAAACCCCAAACCTGAAAAGTTTCTTTTCCATTAAACCACTTATCAGTGTTCAGTTGACTGATGCCTTTGCATTCACTCAGCGTAGGTATGAGAGCTTTGCTGTGCAAATAGTGGCGATGCTGGCACAAGGGTGGCTGCTGCACGCGGGGCTGGTGATGTGGTCCCGCCATAGCCCATGATGACAGAGAGCAATTGGGTTAACTGAAGGCTTTTCTTCTATTGAGTATATTGTTTCTTAGCTTGCATTTAGTCTGCTTAAGTTATGCCAAGCTGTATCAGTTTAGCTTAAGTCTACCTTTGCAAATTTTACCAGCTTTCATCCCTTTTTATCCTTAGCATCTTTCTAGTAACTCATTCTGAGCATGTATAATGTGTGAAAGTGGTTGTGGCTCATTGCTTGGTGTTGTAGCTAAGAGGCAAGGCACTGTCTGCAGTTCTGCTTGGAGCCTGCTGTTGGTGTACCACCTTGGAAAAGCCCCTTAGACTGGTAATGCTGAGTTTCTTAGGTGGCCTCCGGGTGCAGATGTGCTGAGCACCTGCAGCCCCAGGAGCGGACGGTAAAAGCTCCACCTGATTATCACTTCTGCAAATCACTGCTAGGTAACTTCATCCCAGCACCCACAACTCATGTCTACGTCGGTTTTAGGTTGGCTTCAGCCCACCGGCAGGGAAGGGCAGTTGTCAGGAGCAGGGTGTCAGCAGAGGACTCGTGACTCCCTGGCTGTGTAGGAAGCCCTGCTGGCTGCCTGGGAGAGTGGGGATGCTCAGGAGCGATGCCTCTGCCTGGGGCTGGTTCTGCCTTAACCACTGAATGATGCATTAATAATTGCATATATGCATTATAGCATATGACCATAATGGCATTATGGTCACTTCCATAATGCTATACCTATGTGTTTTGGTACATCGGTGACTGTGACATATCTATTCATGTATGAATTGTTTTAAAAGTCAGATGGAGAGTGCTATACATAAATGTAAGTTTTTTCCCTTTGCACGAAATTATTTTTTTCTTTCTCATTTTCTCCTGCATTTTTTCATTTTCACTTTGTACAGTCTGCTGATGTGAAGAGTTTATTCATGAGGTTAACCTAATTACTGTCTTCAGAAACAAAGCCTGTTTCTACAGTGAATATCCTTTTGATATCCATCATCTGAATATTGCCTAATAAAGTTAGCAAATGGCCTCCAAATGAACCAAAATGATTCAGTATCTCATCTAGCAAAGAATGTATTATGGTTTTACCGATACTGACAGAAATGTTTAAAATTCTCAATGCATTCCTTTGCTGGTGGATTAATATGCATTTTTTCTGTCTTGAGATGAAAAACACCGTCTGGATTTAATGCAACACTTACAAAATTGCTGATGTGAGTCTCTGTTAAAGCTATTTTATATACACACTGGAGAGTTTACCGGAGACAACTGGAAAGTTCACTTTGAGTAGCTCCAATACTTGTAATCAGTAACTAAAATGTATTCATGGAGCTGCAAGACTAAAAGGCACGAATTTAAGTGCCTTCATATATTTTCCTTGCTTGGAACAAAGGTGATACATTTTTCATGTAAGCAAAGCTCCTTGGACTTGAGTATGCTCTGGGGAGATAATTAAGAAAGATCAATATATACTGATTGATTGTGTTTTGACCTGAGCATACACTCTCTGTCCACATGTTGTGATGGCCAAGCTTTAGAGTGCGTGGCTGGTGGCTGGATCCCTGAGCTGGCTTAGCTGCTGCTGGAGTCATCTCGTAAGATCTCAACATTGGGTTGACATGAGTATTTACATTTGGTCAGACTTCTCTGGCTTTTGTGTGAATGTTGGTTTAAAAACCTGACATAAAAGCCCATTTCAGCCCTTCCTGGTACTTGTCTCAAGACAAATATTCCTTGCTCTACTCCTTCATTTGTCTTTTCTTTCTGGGGAGGAACAGAAGTGGTAAGTGAAGACAAAAATGACCTTTTTTCCCTTTGACTTCTTGGACAACAAAATTTAGATTTAGCTTGCCTTCTCTGAAGCAGAAACCCAGCTAATCCTGTTAAAAAGTGTAACCAGCAGATTTCAATGTTCTCACTGCTGCCTACCTGCTTGGTTCTTGCAGGTATTCATTGAGAAGACTGGAGTAGCCTTTAACTTCTTAATCTTCCATCTCTACTTGGACTGGAACTTTTATAGATAATTTAATTTAATTATAATGTTTCTTTATTGGAAAATATTAGTTTACAGAAGATTTCAGAAAGCACACTGACGAACTGCCTTGTTCCACTGAGTGCAAAAATCCAGCATTAGGCAGTGATGATGTTCAATGCATCCAAAGGAAAATCATTGTTTCAGTTACTTCTTAAATAGCTTTCTGGTTCGGAAAGAGTATTTGAGTTAATGGTAGTTTGGCATCATTATATATTGATGGGCTCCATCTGATTTATTTTTTCTGGCAGTTATCTACTTGCACGATGTATTATGCCTGACCGTTCCGTTTCCTCTGCTATTGAGTGGTAGATGGTGGATTAGTACCTTGAGCGGTTGCATGGGAACATAATGGGATCTTGCATCATTTTTAATGGTGAGTTATGGACTGTCATGCAGAATATCTGGACACACTTAATAACTTTCTGACAACAACTGTAACAGACATAAAGGTATGTGTTGTCACTGAGCTGCTAGAGAGGCAGGCTCCTGCTTGCCAGATGCTGTTCCACTGCACTGAATTATCTTTCTAGATATTTTTGTAATTACAAACTTTTTCCTAGCTCCAGTAGTGCTTAAATAAAAAATTGATCCTATGGAATTATATTGCTGAATATTAGCTGGTATTTATTTGCAAGTGTCACTTTGGGGTGTCTAACTTGTCCGCGAGAGCAAGGTTTTCTGCTCAGGCTGCAAAATGGTGCAGTAAAAATCAGTGATTGATGTTTATTATTAGATTAAATGGTTTAGCTGTGGGGATCAAAGATATAAATTACAGCCCTCCCCAAGCTGTGATTGGCCACCAGAGATCTTTCAAAGTGCCAGCGTTTTTTAATGAGATCGTATATTTTCAAGCCTCTAACGGTATCAACTTTTGTAGTTTATTGAAATTGTGTTTAAAATAACAGCTTACCAGGTGTCAAATATATTGGATATCTTTTGTATTTGCTTAGTCAAACATCCTGGAGGAAAAAAACATGAGTTAAAAGCGGGAATTTTGATTCCCAAGCAAAGTCTGAGGACTTAAAGGAGCGTGAGGAATACCGTATTCTGCCTCTACACTGGCGTAATTTTTGCTGCTTCTGGTTTTTGGTCATTTCACTGTAAACACGAGGCCTCAATGTGCAGCAAATGCAGATGCTCTTGGGCTCTCCCTCGGGCTGCCGCTCCAGCACGCTGCAAAAGGGAACCATAACCTGGTTATTCACGGAAATTAAATGTTTCCATTCCCGAGCCTCATGGAGAGACTACAGCGTTAGTGTAGTATTGGTTGGATCAAAGTTTAATGGTCAGCTTTTTCCCTGTTGGGAGAATGGCCCTGGTGACACCAACATTTTCCCACACTGTTCATCAAAGTAGAGGAAACTGGAGATTGCTTTAAATGGCAGAAGAATGTAAACGCCCTAATATTACTTGCTTATAGCTGATAGGGCATGCCCTAAATATCAAAAGCATAATATTAAAATAATAGATATTTGATGAAAGGAATACTGAAATAATCTTGTTAGAGAGTTTAAGAGCAATCTATCTGAAAACTAGCAGTCAAAGAATAGCTAAAATTTAGTTTGCCGTTAGAGAAGACTATATTTGTTACTTGCTATGGGAGATTTATAATTGGGGTAAAATCTTAACTGTGAAAGCATTAATCTCAAGTACAGTATTGCAGCATCAAAAGCACAACATTGTCTTCCTGCCCCCAGGACGTTCTTTGTTAGAAAATCATTTGTTTTACTCAAAGGAGGTCTTTTTTCTTTTTATATTAAAAAGTTCGGTCTTTTTTTCCTTTTGGCTGCATTTACTCTCAGGAGATTTTGATTAAGCAGCTCAGTTCAAAAGAGTTTGCACTGTACAGTCATTTTTTGGGGGGAGAAATCATTAGGCGTGCTGTGGGTATTGCAGCTGCTCAGCTGGGGGGAGTCTCAAAGCAGGGTCTCTTCTTCCATTCCTCCTGCATCAGCACATCGGATGCTTTACCCTGGGCATCAGGGTAAACGAGGGGCTTTTTCAAAGTTGACAAATTATTATTTAGTGATGTGCAAGTATCAATTGGTTGATTTGCAGCCAATCGTGCAGGTGTTATTTCCCTCATTATACTGATGTGGGAAGGACTTGCCCAAAGCCTACCTCAGGCATGGGGGGGGGGGGGAATCCTGTTTCTGCACCCTGCTTGGTGTATACTCGCTTCAGCATCGCTGGAAGGACATAACTGAATGAAGTAATGCTTGCTGTGACAGGTTCATACATGGAGCGATCTGGTCCATTGTCTAGTCAAATTGGTGTGTTTTTTTAAATTATTTTTTAAAGGCTAAAATGAGCAAAAGCAATCTGTGACTACTGCAGCGGGGGCAAAGCCTGATGTGTAGCGGAGATCTGCGCTCAGTGACTGGGCGCTGGCGTGGGGCTGTCAAGGAAGCTGGCACTCCCTCGGTGCGAGGAGTGGCCCTTGCTGCTGTAATTGCACCTTTACCTTGCAAGCCCTGGTGGAAAATAATTAAATTTCATAAAAGCCTGTCTTGTTTTGAGCCCCTGAGGGTATCAATTAAATGTAATAATGGTAACTGCAGCTTTTAAGCAACTATGTAGGGTTGTTTTTTTTTTTTAAAGAAATGAGGTGAAGTCTTTTGCACAGCATGGAGCTGAAGACTTTATTTCTATGTTCCCCTCACTGTAAGTACCACTCCTGTAAAGTCTCAGGAGGAGCCCTTTATGCCCAAGAAACAGAGGTAGGAAGATGTTCAGGGGTTTCTTTGGTGGCCAAAGGCAGGTTCTGGAGGTACCAAGCGTGCCCATCTGTCCTGGTTTTGGCAGGGATAGAGTTAATTTCCTTCCTAGTAGCTGGTACACTGCTGTGTTTTGGATTTAGGGTGAGAACAATGTTGATAGCAGACTGATGTTTTAGTCTGGGAGGGGGCACAGCTGGGACAGCTGACCCAAACTGGCCAAAGGGATATTCCATACTATGTGACATCATGCTCAGCATATAAAGCTGGGGGAAGAAGAAGGAAGGGGGGGACATTTGGAGTGATGGCGTTTGTCTTCCCAAGTAACCGTTACACGTGATGGAGCCCTGCTTTCCTGGAGATGGCTGAACACCTGCCTGCCCATGGGAAGTAGCAAATGAATTCCTTGTTTTGCTTGTGTGCGCGGCTTTTGCTTTACCTATTAAACTGTCTTTATCTCAACCCACGAGTTTTCTCACTTTTACCCTTCCGATTCTCTCCCCCATCCCACTGTGGAGGGGGAGTGAGCGAGCGGCTGCGTGGTGCTTAGTTGCCAGCTGAGGTTAAACCACAACACCATCATTTTACGTTGCTTAGCTGGGATATGCCATATGTGGTAACCTTAAACTGCCCGAGCCAGCTATTGCAATTCATCATCTAGCATCTTTAGGAATAAGTCGCCATAGATTTTTTTTTTTTTCCTAGTGTCTTGCCACAAATGAATGCACCCCCTACTCCATGCTTAGAGGTGATGCAAGGATTTCTATACCTCGGGATATCTGCTTAAAAAATAAATTAGCGTGGACTACACCCCTAATGTGGAGTTTGGTCCCTTTGGAGAAGGGGATGCTTGTTGCTGGGCTGCAGCTTTGTTAGCAGCAGCAGCATGAGCTGCTTTATGGGAGCATTCGAGAAGCAGCATACACCTTCTGCAAGGTTGCATCAGAGGGAAATAAAACACCGAAATTATCCTAATAAATTATAATAATTGTGCCTGGCAGCATGCGGTAATTTAAAATAGATTAATCTAACAAGCTTTAAATATGAATAAATAATAAACATCTTCATGCATTGGGAATCTTATTCTACTTAATTCTGAATGAATATTAATTACCCCTCATAAACCCAATGCAAAAATCGATCCGTGTGGAGAAGGCATGAGGTATTAAGTATACCAAATTGGACAGTGCCCAGATGAATATTCTCATCATCAATTAAAGTCGGATTACACTGCTGCTCGACTCTGTCACTGGCTGCCTGGTGATGAGAAGCAGGCCTTAAAACGGGGTCTGTGCTTGTTGCGGTTTATATTCAATTTTGTATCCTTTGTTTCCTGACAGGGTTGGCTGGCTGGCTTACTGCTGGGTGGGATGGGTCAGGAATTACCTACTGTCCCTGTGAGAAAGGAGGAAGCCAGAGGTGATGCTTGGCCATCGGAGTGGTGGCTGGTGCCAGCAGCCAGCATCCCCCTGTGCCACGGCATGTCCTCCATCCTGCCTGCGTGCAAATCCATGGAGCTGAGAATCGGGAGTCTCGCCTCCTGACTTCTGCAGGGATAAATACCACAGAAAAACTTTCTTGCCTGGCAAAATGACCTCTCGGGCCACAGTGACATTTTGGGTAGGGAGAGACACCGTCCCAGGTGGCGGTGTGATGCTCTGGTGCCTGTTGCATTGCGCCTTGTGTGTGCAGAGAGTGGGGATTTCAACTGGAGCAAAACTGAAGACCTGCTCAGTTTTGAGTTGGAACATATGGAAGATGGATGAGAGGGAACATCTGCACCATCTGCTGTAGGGGAGCTCTATCCTTCATCCTCGCACCTCACCGTGTTGCTGTTGTGTTTGGATGATATCCTTCATTCCCTCCCATTATCACCATTCTCCGAAGGCCAAGTCTTTCTTTGGCAAAATGCTTTGCTTAGCAGTAGACTGCATGGGGAGCTCCTAAATGAAAATATCCTCTGCTGCCTTTTTCTGTGAATGGCTTGGGCAAATATATTTTGCCTGTACAAGCGGGCATTGGGATCTTGTTTTTGGTGAACATACACTGCGTGCCAGCATGTAAAATGAGCTGGGGAGGATAACTGGGGTGTTTGGAGATGCAAAGTCACACAGGGGCTGAGGTGGGGAGCTGGCGGGAGATGCTGGCTGCAGCATGGGGCTTGGTATGGCAGGAGTGATGCTCCTGCAGGAAATTTCTCAGTAAAACTGGGTTTGTGTATGGGAGGGGACAGCCCAAGGCAGGTGCATCGTGACCAGCGTACTCCTGGGGATGCAGGGATGGCGTTTTGCATCTTGGTTTGTCATAAAGCCTGGCAGAGTTAAATGAAGGTCACCGGCTGTAAAAAGTGACAGGGACATTTTAAGATGTACTGTAAAATAAACTGTAGCCTAGAAAAAGCTTATGATAGTATCTGCTGCAGGCTTTGGCCTCCATTTTAAAGCTGCCTTGATCTTTTAACATGGAAGCGATTTGCCGCTGTTGTACCATGCCTGTGATCTGCAGATACTGTACTTAAAAGTGTTTGGAGGCTGCCGGTATGCTCAGGGTTTAAGGATAAGGGGGAAGGAGATTAGTGGGAGGAGGAAAGGAGAAATACTTCCTTGTGTCTTCCTGAGCCAGGCCAGGGGCTTGTTTCATGTGTATATTGAGTAGC